AAAAAAAAAATGATGAAAATACTTCTATGTGAACAGCAATAAAGGCGAAAAGGGAAACCAATAACGTTCTCCTCGAGAACTTCCCTGAACTTTTCTGAGTTCCAGCACTCAGAAGAAACAGGAACTAGGTTTCAATAACAATCACAAACCATTGGAAACATCTTCCATCATCATAGATTTGTTTCTCTTTTTTGACTTTGATGAATGCCTCCTTTAGTCCTGAAATTCTGGCACGTAGGAAGAGAATGTGGCTGTTTCCTTAGAGCCCACACCCACAGCTGGCCTGTCACACCAGGCCCTGCCCAAGGTCCCTCTCTGTGGGATTCACATTCTCTGAACCTGGGAGAAGCAGAGAAAAGAATGATCAAAGCAATTCTTATCTCATTTGCTGCTCCTGTGTTGTGGCAAAGCAGAATGCAATGTGGAGATTGTTTACCCGGAGTGAGGGGGTTTTGTTTCCTTGGCCTGTCAGGGCCAGGTCTGTGTTGGTAAGCAGGCAGTCACAAGATTTTGTGCAGTTTCAGTTTAGATGTAGTTTAATATAGTGTAGAATAATATAGTAATTAATTAGCCTTCTGATGTCACAGAGTCCTCCTCATTATTTCCTCCCAGACGCCTTGATATCCGATACCTCCCCAGCTCTCTGGGAGGCCCTTCAGGCCCTGGAAGAAGCTCTAAGGTTTGCTGTCACCATGACATACTTTATGAAAATCCTTTCGATAGGATTTTCTCCTGAGAAGCTGAGGAGCCTCAGGAAAGATATGTAAACCATAACTAATTGCTGTGGAATGCAGCAGGTGCATCTTTGATTGGTGCATGTTGGTTGTTTCTAATTAATGGCCAATACAGTCAACTGGCTCAGATTCTCTGGGAGTCGTGAGCTTTTGTTATTATTCCTTTCTATTCTTTTTCAGCTTTCTGATACATCCTTTCTCCCTATTCTTTTTAGTACAGTTTTAGTACATAATTTTAATATAATAAAATATCATAGTATAATAAATCAGCCTTCTGAAACATGGAATCAAGATTCTCATCTCTTCTCTCATCCTGGCCCTCGAACACAACCATGGTTTGCCAGAGCCTCCCCTTCCCTGGGATGAACACCCCACTCTGCAGCCCGGCCCCACACAGAGCCCTCTGGGCATCTTTGTGACCTCCTCTGGACCAGAGATGCCAAGTGGCTGGCCACCCAGATCAGCTGTTTAAATAAATTATTGCACAGTTGATGCCTTCAGTTTTAGTCTTTGTATTTTTCAGATCCATTGGTGCAGAACTCTGAACTCCATATAAAGTGTCAGCTACTGCCTTCACATTTTGGTCAGACACAACAATTCCTCCAGGCCTGAGATCCAAGGACACCCTACAGCCTCAGGCCCCAAAAAGTACAAACAAAAGTGAAGTGAGGAGAAGCAAACAGGGGGTGTATTCCTTCATTACCTGAAGATGTAATTGCACAATTAACCCCTGATAATCAAATAGACCAAACTTACATCTGTATAAAAAACTTGTGATCATTGTCCATCTTGGGTGCAGCCTCTGGGAGGTTCTTGCACTGCCCAAGGTGTAACTGTTGAAGACCTTTAATAAATACCCACTTTATTCTCTTAACTTTGTCCAATATATATATAATATATAAAATAAATATTATATATATAATAATAAAATAGGTGGAAAATAAATATATATTTTTATATGTATATATAAAATTTTTATATATAATATATACAATAATAAAATAGGTGGATCAATTGAGGCCTTCTAATAAATCCCTACTTTATTCTCTAACTCTGTCCAGCCTCTTTTCTAGGTAGCCACTTCTTCCCTGTCCTCTGAAGCCACACTGCACAGAGCCAGGCAGCCCAGCTGGGAGCACTGGAGGAGTAATTCAGGTGATAATTAAAATATATACGAGAGTGAAGAGATAAAAATAGGGACAAAGGGGTGAGCATTGCTGCTCACAAGAAGCAGGAACTGTTGAAGTCTCTAAGGGCTAAAAAGGAACATGTAAAAAGTAAGGTGACACCTGTTTATGCAGCCACCCTGCACTGACAGCCTGTGAAATGAGATCTTACAGTAGCAACAGCTAAAAATAGCATTTAGTGTTCTTCCAAAACCTCTTGTTCTATTGAATTAAACAAATGCAAAGCTCTGCAGCTCCTACTAGTTTACCAATATAATAATTATATAATATAAATATATCTATAATACAGATAATATATTTCTATTTTATATATTAATATAACAATATAATTATTATATTTATATAAAGCATATTTATTATTATAAATATAAACATAATTATTTTTATTATTAACTTCTGCTTCATCCAGCCAGTTCTCAACACATCCAAGGCAATGTGTGCATGTTTATCACCCAGAGGGTGCCTCTCTGGCTGCTTGTGTTCTCTGCCACTGAGAAGAAATGAGACAACTCACTCAGAACTCACCCTTGCCCAGCCCAGAGATGGCATCTGTGATCACCACCACCTTGTTCTGCACGGCTGACTTGGACAGCAGCCACCTGACTGACTGGTAAATGTAAATAATTCCACTGATCCCCAAGAGCAGCAATGGCAGAGCAAGAACAGAAAGGATACCCATGGCTGTGGGAAGCAAAAGACCACAAGAGAGTACAGTAATCACAATATTCATTCATTATTTTTCATTCATATTCATTATTTTTCAATTATTCCAGCGTTTTCTGGTATAGAAAATCTACTGATCAGCATGCCAAAGCAGCAAGTTGAAACAGTAGGAAGGTAATTTTCCAATCAATGGTACAAGACTGTTTTTTAATAAACAGGGCAGTGTTGTTTCTTTGTCTGTTTTCCTCATCTTTGTATGGTCTAGGGTGGGTTCCTTTTATGAAAAATTTCTCTTTTTTAGCTTTGATGAATGTTGCCTTTAGTCCAGAAATTCTGGCATGTAGGAAAAGAATGTGGCTGTTTCCTTAGAGCCACATCCATAAGATGTGGCAAAATCATAATTTAAAAAAAAAAAGTATAAATGTATAGATATTCTATTATGCCTTGAGGCAAAACATGAAATAAACACTGAACTTTTAATCACATTGCTATTACTACAAAACAGAGAAAAAGCTTTTAATCCAAATTTCAGCTAAAACTCACAACAGAAGTCTTTTCTGTTCTAAAAGACAGAGAAAATGCAATCACTTACCATGGCTATGAAGACTGCAGATACACACAGAGCATTCTATTGTATTTTTGCAAACTTTTGCATTACAGATTTAATGAAGATCCTTCAGAGTTTCTCAGAGCACTGCTTGCCCTGAGTGAGAGTGGCTATGTATGGCTGGTGACAGAGGCACTCCAGGGTAAATATAGCCTGCCCAGAGTGAGCTGCATGCCTGACCTTCCCACCCCAGCAGCCACAGAAACTCCTAGGGCAGAATCAATTCACCTGCACAGATCGTGAAAAACGCCAATCACTTGGGTTTAAAATTTTTAAAGTTTCATAGTAGTAAAAGGGTTATAAAAATAGCAATATGACTAGAGTAATAAAAATTTGGAAAATCAGGATTTAGGACAATATGGCACAATAAGAACAAAGAGTTATGGATGGTCCAGGTACCATTTTCTGGGCAAAATAAACCCAAAAAAGGACACACATTAACAGAGGATTAACCCTTAAAAGCAACAGCCTGTTGCACATTCATACACCTCATCCATGATGCATAAATTCCATTCAAACACAGGATTCTGTCTGGTCAGGGTCAACTTCTTCCTCTGAATCCTGACGGCGTCTTCAGGGCTGAGTGAGGCGGGAAGTTAGTTTCTTCTGATAATGGAGCAATAAATTTTATTTCCCTGAAATATTCAGGTGTCCTGTGGCTGCTGGTGCGAGTCCCTCATTCCTCTCTTTAAAAAAATTATCTTACATAGCATAGTTTCTATTTTACATTATGTTATAACCTCAAATTATATTTAACACACGACTCAAGAAAATTAACACAGCAAAACTTTCTAACATCACACATATAACATTCATTTTAATATTTTCAAAAAGCCAATCACAAAATACGCATTTTCCACAAGGTGCTAGAAATGTGCTGCAATGTACAACAGTTTCTGCAAGCAAATGCAAAAACACTGAGTCGTGCCAGGCCACCTGCAGCAACAGAGAGGAAATCCAATTTTTTATCATTCCTAAAGCCCCAGCTATCTCCTCTTACTTTTAAAGCATCAAGTTTTAATAAACAAATCAGCAGTTCCCTATCAGCAACTGAGCCAGTTTGTTCCTTTTATGGAACATGATGTGTTGTTTGTTTAATTCATTCAGGGCTCTGGAAACATTTTTCCTGGAAAGTTGAAACATTAAAAAAAATCACACATACACTAGAGATAGAGGACTTATATGAGTTCCAAGTAATTTGCTTCCAAATGAACTAGAATAAAGGTAGAAGAAAAGTAAAAAAGCAAACTAGGAAAAAGTAAATAAAAAAAAAAAAAAAACTAGATAGCCCACAGTGTATAAGACTGTAAAAATAAAATGCTATTATGTCCATCAGGAAAAATTGTAAAGGAAAACTGCCAGAGTCATGTGGGAAAATGCAGATATGCAGTGACTGCATTAACCCAAACACCCAAATCGTGGGAAGCACAGAAATGTGAGAAATGTGTTGTGCACTGCCACCTTCAGAGCGCTGCGGGGAACACCAGGGGAACAAGGGTATTTAAAACTGTTCTAACGGGTGATGCCTTGAGAAGGCTGACCTAGAACAGAGGCTGGGCAGAATTAAAGAATAAAGCAGGGATTTATTAAAAGGATCTCCTCAGTGGATCCACCTGGGGCAGCACAAGATGAACCAAAATGGTCACAAAATGCACGACTGGTCATGGGTTGTCTCACTTTTATAAGTTCTACTCCATTATTTTATTGGAGTTCATTGTCCATGTCCGGTTTTATGTTATTTAGTCCCACCCTTCTCGTTTTTCTCTCTTTAATTCACATTTTTTTGTGCTCCTGGGCCTGCTGGAGCCGGCACTTCCGGGTGCGGTCACGTGGGCGGCGCGTCATGTGACCTGCGGCGCTGCGGGCCGGAGGTGGGAGCGGGATCGGGGGGGGGGGGGTGAGATCGGGGGGACCCCGCTGTGGGACCGTGGGGTCACTGTGGGGATTGGGATCGAGGGACCCCGCTGTGGGACCGTGGGATCACTGTGGGGATTGGGATCGAGGGACCCCGCTGTGGGGACGTGGGGTCACTCTGGGGATTGGGATCGAGGGACCCCGCTGTGGGGACGTGGGCTCACTCCCGGGGACGTGGGGTCTCTCCCGGGGATGTGGGGTCACCGCCGGGCGGTGAGATCGAGGGAACCACGGTGTGGGGCCGTGGGGTCACTGCCGGGCTGTGGGACCCTGCTGTGGGGTCACTGCCGGGGCCGCGGGAGTGTGGGATCGAGGGGACCCTGGTGTGGGGCCGTGGGGTCACTGCCGGGATGTGGATCACTGCAGGAGATGCGGGATCCAGGGGACCCCGCTATGGGGATATAGGGTCACTGCCGGGCTGTGGGACCCTGCTGTGGGGTCACTGCCGGGGCCGCGGGAGCCCCCGGGATGGCTGTGGGGGTTAGAGGGGTCAGAGCCCCGGGGGTCGGGAGGGCTCCGCAGGGACAAGCCCGGCTCTCGCCCTCCCCTCGGTGCCGCCCCCCGACGCACCCGTGTCCCCTGCAGGCCATGGCCGCCCCCCGCCCGCCCCGGGTGGTGCCGGGCGAGGCCTCCGAGAGCGACTCGGAGCCGGAGCTGCTGGTGGAGACGGCCGGGGAGGCCCCCGCAGCCGGGCTGAAGGTGCCGGGCGAAGCCTCGGAGACGGACGAGGAGGAGGAGCAGGAGCAGCAGAGGCCGAAGACGCCGCCGGTGCTGGCGGAGGAGCCGGCGGCCGTGTGGGGGGGCGGCCCCTCGCTGCTGCAGCAGCGGCTGCGGGAGGGCACGGGGCGGCTGCGGGGCGCGGTGGGCAGCGCCCTGCGGCACAGCTACGGCAGCGCGGCGCGGAGCCTGGGCGGGCTCGGCGGGGCGCTGGGCCGGGCGCAGGTCACCGCGGCCGCGGCAGCGCACTGCCTGCGCCTGGCCCGCCGCGCGGGCTCGGCGGAGCGCTGGGCCGGGCGCAGGTCACCGCGGCCGCGGCAGCGCACTGCCTGCGCCTGGCCCGCCGCGATCTGCGCGCCGTGGCCGACACCATCGACATCGTCACTGCGTGTCACCTCCTGCCCGACATCCGCGGGCAGCTCTGAGCGGCACTGGGGCACCGCCTTCAGCATCCCCACTGCGGCTGGCGCTGGCACCTGGCGGACATCCAGCAGCACTGCTGTCCTCGGCATCGCCGGCAGGATCAGTGCAGCATCCTGCCGAGGGTGGAGCTGCGACATCGAGTCATGTTTGCGGCACCCCTCGCTGACTCTGAAGGCCTCCTCACCACGGTGGCATCATCACCAGTGTACACAGTGACACCAAACTGGCTTTGTCACAGAGACTGCCAGCCTGGTGCTCCAGGACCTGCATGTGCTGGTGACATCTTCGCTGCTGGTCCCCTGGCCAGCTGCCGCCATCCCTGAACTGCAGCCTGGTGCTGGCTCGTCACCATTGTCCTCAAATGCCACTGTTTTATGTGACATGGAACTGAATAAAGGCGTGGTGGTGTCAGAGCCGTGGTGGGGAGCTCGGCCAGCACTGTGAGGACAGTAGTGTTACAGGAGCAGGGACAGAGGAGAGTGACATGGGTGCTGGTATCACATTGCAGTGGCCTTTGAGTTCACTGGTAGCCCAGGGGAAGAGACTGGTGGCCTGGGCTGTATCCCACATGTCCCCAAGCAGTGGGACTGTCACTGTGTCCCAACGCTGTGTCCCTCCTGGGGGACACTGCCCTTGCCCCATCGCAAGAAGAACACGCCCTGGGGACAAACAAGGGTTTATTTGGGGGTACACGTACCACAGCACCACTGTCACCCCCTGAGGACACAGGAGGGGTGTGTGTCCCTGGAGGGGTCACATGTGGGTGTTCAGGCTGTCCATGTACTCCTGCAGAGCCTGCAGCCGGGCATCGATCTCAGCCAGTTCAGCTGAGGGCTCCTTGGAGCAGTTCTCTGGGCAGGCAGCGCAGGAAAAAAGGGTTAACAAAGGTCTGGGTTGGGGTATCCCTCAAATACCTAGGGGCCGAGCTGGGGCCTCACCTTTTCCAGGGCGCTTGCCAGCAGTCCTGCACGCTGGCAGCTTGTGGCTGGCAGCTGGGCGAGGGACCTGGGCAGGAGGTTGGGGGTCACCAGTGACCTCCTGGTCACCCTGCTTTGGGATGGAGGGGTGGGGGAACCCCAAAAGGACAGCCACTCACCACAGAGGGGCTATTGCAGAACGAGGTGCTCAGGGGTGTCCGTGTACGGGTCGCTCTCCTGTCCCTGCCCGGGGAGGGGGGTTACAGGGTGCTGGAAGGGATGCCCACACATCCTGCCCAACCCCAGCGTTACCTGCAGGGCTCGGGGCGCGCAGGGGCTTTGCTGCCAGGGCTCCCTCCCCGGCGCCAGCTGCGGGAGCTGTCAGCTGCAGGGAGAAACGGGGATGGGGAAGCTGAGGAAGGAGCCCCAGCACGCAGTGGGGGCACCCCCAGCCCTCCTCCCCTGCCCCACTCACCAGACGAGCTGCGCCTGTGGCTCCTCGCCGGGCTGCTGCTGCCAGAAGCCACTCCACGCCGCTGGCTGCACCCAAGGGACATGGTGGTAAGGGGGAATGTGGGGCTGAAGGGAGGAAGAAACCCTCCCAGGTATCAGGGAGGGATGCTGATGGAGGGAGCTGCCAGCACCGCTTACTTTCTGAGCTCAGCCTCCTTCTGCCGGCGCTGCCGGGCCCTGACAAAGGCAGTGGGGTCGAAGCGTGGCGGGCGGGAGCCTGGCAGGGGGAGGCAGAGGAGGGGTCAGGGTGAGGAGGGGGTGAGCCATGTCCTGTCTGCACTCCTGGGTGCGTGTCCCCATGTGTCCCACACCTGCAGGTGACAGGGACTTTGGTGAGGGGTGGCCCCGGCTGCTCCTGTGGCTCTCCAGGGATGCTGAGCGTCGCTCCTGGGCGCGTGGGGCCGGGCTGGCAGATTTCTGGCGGCTGCCAAGAGAACCAGCACCATGAGGGGAGGAACAGGGAAACACCCCACGGTCATGAGGGTTCCCTGCAGGGTTCACCCCGGCCTCACCCCCTCCTGCAGGAGGCCAGTTCAGCTGTCAGGTTCTTCACCCGCAGCTGCAGCTTCTGCTCTGACGCCTTTGCCTGGGCCAGCTTCGAGGGGGAAAAAAAAGCTCACTGTGCATGTGGCAGCCTGTGTCTGTCCCCAGAGCAGCTCCCACCGTCCCAGCCCACCTCTGCAGCCAGCTGCCGGTACTCGCGCTGGTGCCGGCTCTCTGCTGCCCGCTTCTCCTCCAGTGCCTGCCACAGCCTGGGGGGAACAGCAGGGGCTGCTCTGGGGGTTCCCTCCTCACCCTGAGAGACAGGAACCCCCAAACCCCCCCGGGTGCCCTGTCCCCACTCACGCTTCCCGCAAGTGCTGGGTCTCCTCCAGGTGCCGCGCCTGGAGCTGCCCCAGCTGCTCCTGCAGCTCCCGCACCAGCGCCACCAGGTCCGGCCGCCCCGCGTAGGGCAGCGGCAGCGGGTAGTGGATCCTGCAGGAGAGGAGGAGGTCAGGCTGCAGTCACCCCCCGGGACCCCTGCCTGCTGTCCCCTGTCACCTATCGAACTCCACAGAGTAGACGAGGATGAGGTAGCGCTTGCTGTTGAGGGGAGAAGAGGTGCAAGGGGGAGGCCGGGTGATTGCCCCCACTTTCCGGCTGTGCAGGGTCTCCAGGTCGGTGAAGGTGAGCAGCTCCAGGCTGACGGAGTCGCTGCTCTGCAGAAAGTTTGAAAAGCAGGAGGGCTCGGTGGGACACACACCCCACCTGGGGTACCCCCAAAACCCCGTGTAGGGGAGTAGCACGGCCACACCTGTGTCAGCGCCGACTCCAGCATGCTGCAGAAAATGCCAAACTGCTTGAAATTCCCCGTTTTGCGGGTGAGATCCTCGATGACTGCGAGAAGGGGGTGGTATTTCAGTCAGTGGCAGCCATGGGTGACCCCCTCAGCCTCCCAGCCTCCCTCCATCACTCACAGGCGGCATCGAACTCTCCCCTCCACAGGTCGCCGGTGCCGCGAGCCTCCACCTCCACCCGCAGCGTGCTGCGGCTCAGGGTCAGCCGCACCGTGTGTGCCCCGGGCCGGAAGGCGCACTCGGCCTGCAGGAACCGCGGCTCCCCCATGGCGCCGGGGGCTCTGCGGGCACGGCGCACCCGCGGCAGGCCCGGCAGCACAGGGGGACCCGCCAAAGGGCAGCCCGGCTGGGCTGGGCTCAGGGCTGGAGAGTGCGGAGCGGGAGCAGAATCGATGCGCACGGGTGACAAGGGGAGCCCACAGCCCGGAGCTTTTGTTGACTCGGGCTCGGCTGGGGGCGGGCGCAGCTCCAAGGGGTGGAGAGAGCACAGAGGAACAAGGGGAGAGCCGCGGGCTTGGGCCTGCTGCCTGAGGGATCCCAGGGCGTGGCGGGCCTGATCTGGGGGCACCGAGGGAAGGGAACGGGGGTGGCCGGGGCCCGCGGATACGCTCAGGTACCGGGAGCAGCCCGGCCGCATCCGGGAGGAGATCCGCCCGCCGCGATCCGCCGCGCCTCGGCCGGCCCCGCTCCGCCGCACCTCATTGGCTGGCCGCGCGCCCCACCCAGCCGCCTCATTGGCTGGCCTCGCCCCACCCAGCCGTCTCATTGGCTGATCGCACCGCCGTCCGCCGCCTCATTGGCTGGCCGCGCCCCACCCAGCCGCCTCATTGGCTGATCGCACCGCCCTCCGCCGCCTCATTGGCTGATCGCACCGCCCTCCGCCGTCTCATTGGCTGGCCGCACCCCACCCAGCCGCCTCATTGGCTGGTCGCACCGCCCTCCACCGCCTCATTGGCTGATCGCACCGCCCTCCACCGCCTCATTATCTGGCCGCACCGCTCTCCGCCGCTCATTGGCTGCTGGCGCCGCCCGTCATGGCAATGCCGTTAGCCGCTCTGCGCTGCCCGCCGGCCTCCCGCTGCCATTGGTTGTCAGGCGAAGCCCGCCTGCTGTCCCATTGCGCCATTGGTTAAGGGAGCTGTCGCTCATTTTGAGGAAGGGGTGGAGCCACGCCTGCCTGTGGCAGGCCCCGCCCCTTGCCGTGCTCCCTGAGGGGCGTGCCCGCCATTATCATGGCCCACTCTGATGTGGGACACGGAGCGGGGCGGGTTATCGGGGCTGGGCTGGATTTGAGGGCAGGACAGAACCCGAGGCAGTGCAGGAGGGCACCGACAAGTTGTGGAGCAACTGAACCTCGAACCTGATTTTATTAACCAGTGAAAGACTGGGGGCAGTCTGGGGGATGCCCCTCGAGGCTCCAGGACTCCACTAGAGAGCCCCAATGTTTGGGAGGATCCCTCTCAAAGGACAAAGTTTCCCATAAAATACTGGGGAGGAGAGCAAGTAGAGCACACCCCAAAGTGCCCCTGGCCCTTCAGCCGCCCTTCTGAGGCAGAGCTGTGCCCACGGCTCTGTCTGTGCAGCGGGTGACACTGATGGCATTGCCAGCACCCCCGATCGAACTCGGGACCTTCAAAATCACACTAAATGAGTCTTTGAACTCTAAAAACATAAACCTTGGAATGTATAAATGTGGTTTTGTAGCATGAAGATGTTAGTTCGGCCCTTAAACTGACTATTTGGTCTTCCACATGTAGGCTTTGGTGATTTAAAAGCGGCGCTGTTCTCTGTGGCGTTGCATTTTAGTTATTTACATAATGCTCAAACGAACTGCACCAAAGTTTTCCTTACTTTTGAGGATTGCATTATCCAAATCAAGGTTTGAAAAGCTTGAGGCTGAATCTGAAGAGTAACACTTTGGACCTGAAGCACGGGCAGGACGAGAGGCGCAGGGCACAAATCCAGACCCAGGGCGACTCGGGAGATGTTTTTTACTCTGGGGGTGACTGAGGCTCCCTGGGCAGGTTCTGGGCACCACTAAAAGGCCAGCTGGCCACGGCTGTGGTGGCCAGATGCGGCTTGCCTCGGACCCCAGCACACCCTGCAGGTCCCTGCTGCACTCGAGGCCTGTTCACTGCCATGCTCTCCGTGGAGAGGGACAGCAGGTGACAGAGCAGGGACACTCAGCGCAGGACGAGAGGCGCAGGGCACAAATCCAGACCCAGGGCGACTCGGGAGATGTTTTTTACTCTGGGGGTGACTGAGGCTCCCTGGGCAGGTTCTGGGCATCACTAAAAGGCCAGCTGGCCACGGCTGTGGTGGCCAGATGCGGCTTGCCTCGGACCCCAGCACACCCTGCAGGTCCCTGCTGCACTCGAGGCCTGTTCACTGCCATGCTCTCCGTGGAGAGGGACAGCAGGTGACAGAGCAGGGACACTCAGCGTGCCCCCCAGGCCAGCGTGTGCAGCCTGTGGGCAGCGTCACGCAGCCGCTTGCGGTACTCGAGGCGGCGGTGCAGCCCCGGGGGGACGGAGGCCAGCCCCCCCAGCAGCCCCCAGCAGCCGGCGGCGATGGTCCCCGTGGAATCGCTGTCGCCGCCGTGCAGCACTGCCCTGGCACACAGCTCCTCCCAGCTCCCTCCGGCTGCCAGCAGCGCCTCCAGGGCCACCATGGGGGCGTCGTGGCCGCTGCGCCCTGGCCACCCGTCCAGAGCCCAGCCTAGGTACTCGGTGTCCCGCTCGGCTGGGGACGGGAGGGGTGGCACCCGCGCTGGGCCAGCACCTTCCAGCAGCCCGCGGGAGTCCAGGTATCTGCAGAGAAACGGGGACACTGAGGTCACTGGTCACTCTCCAGCAGCCCCTGTGACCCCAGATAGCTGTGGGGACACTGGGGACAATCAGCCAACCCGGGGGGTAGCCATGGGCATCCAGTTATTGGATACCAGTACCACCAAGAACACTCAATGCCCCAGCAATACAGAGGCCACTGTCCCTGAGGATGGCACCTCTGGCAGTGACACAAAGGACACTGGCTGCAGCAGGGACAGACTGGGCATCAGGGTCAGCAGTGGCACCAGTGACACTGCCACGATGCCCTGCCAGGACCATCAGAGAGCCTGGCTGGCACCAGTGGCACTAATGGACCCCTGAGCCTTTTCCAGTATCATCCCCAGCCCCTCTTTGTGCTCCCAGTGTCCCCCCAGAACCCTCACAGTGCCCTCTCACCGGTGCCACGCCTCCCCAAAGAATGGCCAGGCAGCAGCATTGTCCTCCACAGCCACCCCGGTGCTCTCCACGTAGTCCCATGCCAGGGGCAGGACCCGCAGCAGCTCAGCCCCCCAGCGCTCTGGGGGTTCACCCCGAGCTCCCAGTGCCCCAAAGAGGGCCACCGCCAGTGCTCCAAGGTACCCTGTGGGGACAGGGGCTTCAGGGGGGCTCTGCTGTCCCCTCCAGCCCTCCCCTGCCAGGCTGGCACTCACCAGTGGGGTGGTGGTGGGTCATGCGCCCGCTCTCGATGCTCACCCGGATCAGAGTCGGCAGCTCCGAGGCACGTGGGTACCTGCACTGGCATCACACCAGTCCCCACACCCCTGCTACTGTATTCCCATACCACCACCCTTGTCCCTGCTGTGCCCATTCTCCCAGCCCCATCACTGCCACGCCCCACTCTTAGCTCTGTGACCTGTGTCCCTCTTCGCTGTTGCTGTCCCCATCTTCTCTGTCCCCAGCCTCCCAGCTCCAGCACCACATGTCTCCAAGTCCTGGACCTTGTCCTCTCCAGCTCCACCAAACCCACGTCCCCACTCCTCTCCCTGTGACATCCTCATGTCCCTCTTACCCTGCTCCCATCCCTTCATGTCCCCTTCCCTCCAGCTCTGACACCCCCTTGTCCCCATCCCGTGTCCCCGTGTGGCATCCCTGCATCCCCCTTTCCACTCATTCTAACACCCCCACATCGCTGCCCTCACCCCCCAGCTCTGATACCCACATCCCTGGCCCCGAGTGTCCCCAGGTGTCCCCAGGTGTCCCCGTGCCCACCTGAGGCCGATGGCCAGGCTGCGCATGGCGGCCCCGCAGCCGGTGCCGCGGGGGTTGAAGGGGATGCGATAGCCCTGGGGCTCCCCCGGCCGCAGCTGGGAGGTGCCTGGGGGGACACGGGCTGTGAGGCTCCCTGCGCCCCCCCTGCCTCTCCCCGCATCCCTGGGCTCTGCTCACCAAGGATGCTGCTGGGTCCGGGCTTGCGTCCCTCCATGTCCCCCATGGCGGCCACGTAGCGGCGAGCCAGCTCCTGCAGGAGGGGTTCCCCCTCCAGGCCTGTGCAGGGAGAGGCCCCATGAACCCCAAAAAATGAAAGGGGAGAATAAGATCGCCATTGCACCACCCCCAAAAATGTGGGGAATGGAAACACTGCCCCACAGAGCACCCAAAACTGGAGGGGAAGCAGGATGAGTGTAGTGCACAAATGGGGAATCTTCCTGAGCACTGCAAACTGAGAAAGGGGTACCCTGCCAGGGTCCCAAGTGGGAGGGGGAAATGTCCCCACTTCCAGCACCCAGAATGGGAGGAAGGGGCACATAAATGAGGAAAACCACACAGACACACCCACAGTCCCCACCCCCACCTAGAGGAAACAAGGACACACATCCCCCCAAGCCCCTGGAAACCCCTAAAAGATGGGGGATGTGGAATGAAGATGCCCCAAAGTCCCCTCCAGAGCTGAACAATCCCCGTTTGAGTCAGGAATCTCATGGGGACCTCCCTGATGTATCCCAAGGCTGTTACGGTACACCCAGCCACACCCCAAAGAACACAACAGGGACCCCCCATCCCTCAGGGGACATAGAAGGACAGTGCCAGCCTGGGCTACAATGGGAACCCCAACCCCCGGGACCCCTCCCTTCTGTCACTGGGGTGTCACGGGGTCCCCACACCTGTGGCCAGCCCCTCGGCGGTGGCGAGGTGCAGGACGGTGTCATCGCTGACGGGCCACTCGGGGGGCTCCAGGCTGATGGCTGCCAGCCCCCCCAGCTCGGCCAGCTCGCTGTGGATCTGGGGGCCCGAGGTGCAGTACTCCCAGCGGGCCCCCCGGTAGCCCAGGGCGTCCCCAACCCCGCTGAGCACCATGGCTGCCTCGTAGGCCTCCACCGAGGGCACCCTGCGGGAACAGGGGGTGCCAGGGGGTTCAGGGGGTGCCAGGGAGTTCAGGGGTGCCAGGGAGTTCAGGGGGAACCCAGGGGGAACAGAGGGTTCAGGGGGTTCAGGGGGAGCCCTCTCTCTGAACAGAAGGTTCAGGGGGTGCCAGCAGCAGGGAAGCCCCAGGGATCCCGGTGCACTCACGTCTCCTCCATGCTGGAGCAGCTGGGAACGCCTGTCAGGCTCAGGGCACGGGGCCAGTGCTGGCCAGGGGCCCTTAAGGGGACCAGGACACCCCGGGGATGTGGGGTACAGGGATTGCCCCCACAGCGAGAGGGAGGAAGCAGGGAGGGACTCCAGGGGCATCCTGGGTGGGGGAGGCAGAGGGAAAGAGAGGCTCCAGGGGCCCCAGATCTCTTTTTAGGGTCAAAGCTTTAAACTGTGGCAACAAAGCATCCTTTGAGGGCACAAAACCCTACTTCAGGGTTCACAGTGTTTTCAAAGCTGAATTTTCAGGGCCCCAAGCCCTCTCTTAAGACCCAAACCTTCTTTTGGAGAGTCCAAAACCCTCTTTTACCACTCAAGTTTCCACTGGACTGCCTGAAGCCCTTTAATCAGCACCAAGGCTTCATTTCTTGGGGCCAGAAAGGTTCACCTGCATTGCAGGGTCCACAAGGTCACTTGCAGCATCTTACCTACTGATTTTTTTCATGCCTAAAACCTCAATTTTGGGGTCAAAATCCTAATTTTTGGGCTCTCAACCTTGCTTGTGTTAGATATTGCTTTTTATTTTAGGGCAGAGTTTCATCTTTTGGGTCCAAACCCTCATTTACTGGACAGAAATCCTGCCTAGGCTACAAATCCACATTGGGATGGTCCTAAACCCCATGTTTCCTTCTGAAGCTCTTAGCTCTGTCTTCCTAATCAGGCTCCTTTTAGGCTGCAAAGTCTCATTTTTAGTATCCAAAGAATGTTTCAGCTCACAACTTCTCTTTTTGTGAGTTCCAAGCAGGGTTTTTCCTCTCCAAAGCCTTCTTTTCAGGCAATCTGGCTCTTTTCCCAGTTAAAAAAAATAAACAACCAAACAAAAAAAACCCCAACAACCAAACCCCTGTTCTTTCTTGCTTGGTCACACTCTACAGAAATTAAAGTGCCACCTCAGACAGGGTTTGGTCCTGAAGGCAAGTTTCAAGTTTACTGTTTGAATCATAACCTCCAGGCTGATGATCAGGAAATAACAGAATTCTCACTAATTAGTGAAACCAGAAGGAACACCAACAAAACTTCCACACTGGGCTTCTGGAGGGCAGATTTTGACCTTTTCAAGAAGCTGATTTGGAAAGTTCCTTGGGAAGCAGCCCCATGAAATAACAGAATTCTCACTAATTAGTAAAACCAGGAGAACTTCCACACTGGGCTTCTGGAGGGCAGATTTTGACCTTTTCAAGAAGCTGATTTGGAAAGTTCCTTGGGAAGCAGCCCTTTAATAAAAGGGGTCCAGGAAGGATGGATGTTCTTCAAGAAAGCAATCCTGAGGGCACAGCAGCAGGCTGTCCCTGTGGGCTGGAAGATGAGCTGCTGGGGATGGCAACAGGCCTGGATGAGCAGGGAACTTCTCAAGAAGCTCCTGTTCTTCGTGTCCAAGCCTCATCGTGCACAAGTGAGCAGCTGGCAGAGCTGTGCAGGTGTCTGCAGTGTCTCTCTGGTGCTCTTTGTGCAAGCTGCTCCCTACGAGGGACACTTTGGTACTTCCTGCACTCCTCTTCTTCGTCTCTGGCATTGCACAACTCCCATCACCTGCTCCTCCCTCCTCCAGGTTGACGATCTGCCTTTGTCACCGCTGTGGTGGCATGAGTCCCCTCATCCAAGCACCACTCCTGGTGTCCTCTGGTGGCTTGCTGAGCATCCTCTCTGCCCCAGCATCCAGTTAAGAAAGACATGAAACAGGACCAGCCCCTGGCCCTTGGGAGATGCTGTTCCTGGCTCCATCCTGGCTCCATCCCTCAGGGCCTGGCCCTCCAGCCTTGTCTAGCCACTACTGGCACATCCATGTCCCTTCCAGTGACTCAAACTCCACATTTAAAAGCAACAGATTGCTAAATGGGCACATGCAAGCACACAGCTCTCAAAATCCCATCACACAAACGTCACACTGGGGGTATTTCCACCAGCTGCCTCAAAACCTACAAAGAAGGAAACACCCTGTAAATTATTTATACAGTGTCACAACCCACCAGTTGGAGGCATGATGTTCACTGGAAATTGTCATCAGCTCAACAAAGACACTGGATGATGTGCCAGGGAGTTCTTTATGTTTTATTGTTGCCATAACTCTTGCTACCAGCCAAATATTTAGGCCCAAAAGATGTTGGTTAACAAACCCTTACATGAGGCTTCCAGGAGTGGTGGCTGACAAGCCCTTAATTTCATACAGTACACTTTAATAATTTCTCAGCTCTCACCACAAGCTCCTCAAAAGTGCTGGCTAACAAGCCACAACACAATTCCACAAGCTCCCACAAGAAACTTCAGTGTGGAGCCTGGGGCAGGATCATTGCCATGCTTTGCCCAGACAAAGCAAGGGAGGAGATAATAAAGACAGAAAAGGGAGAGCGAGAACGAAGCTTGTCACCAGTCCATAGATGCCATGTTGGTTCTAGTGTGGATGGTCTGGAGCAGGGATTGCAAGACAAAAAAAGCCAGAAAGAGGAAAAAGAGCCAGGGGGGCCAATTGGCTTCCTTTTATAGTTGACTTGGTCCCTACCTCTGACTAAATTTTTTGTGCTGTTTTCTTCATGCATGCACAGCCAGCTCTTCTGGCCCTCTTCTGGGAAGTGAGCATGAGTAGGAATTTGCAAAGCAGAGCAGGAATTTGCCTGTCTTCTCCAATGATCTTTCCAATTGTAATAATCAGAATATTTGAGAAAAAACATACTTAGATCTGGTCCCCCACAGGCCAACAAGGGGTTTTAATTCTGGCTTTGGCTTTTCTGCCTGTTGGTTCCAACAGGTAGGATTTTGTTTTAATTTCAGATGCTGTGCTGCTGCATCATCCAGGCTGTGTTGGTCTGATATGCATCTCTGGGATGCTCAGACCTCCACACTGACAGGTAAGAGTTTGTGATCTCCACCACCTGGCTCCAGAGACTGTAGTCCTGCCATGAGCATCTGCCCAGCTCTCTCTCTAGTGGCAAGGTTTGCACCCAAGCAAGGCTTGGTGCAGGTGCCTGCAGGCAGATCCTGTCAGAGGGCCCTGGAGCTGTGGCATTCCTGGGAGCATGGTCAAGGCCTAAAGGACTGCTTCTCTTCCTCCTCCTTCCTGTCAAATTGCCACAGGTGGTGGTGCTGTTCATGATGCAGCTGCAGAGATCATTGTCCCACTGTGGGGATCTGCTCCTGGCTCTCTCCCTGGCATGGTTCCTCGGACTGTGCATCACCTTAATCCTGCCAGGCACAGCCTGTGGTGCTGAGGAACCTCCCTGCTGGTGGCTGGTCCCTCCCTGACCGAGCATGGAATGGGCATTTGGTGGTGCTGGTGAGGAAGCTGTTGTTTCTCTCATTTTCAAATCTGAGCACCTGGAGGAAAAAGTTATCTCTGCTTCAGGCATTCCTTGTAGGTTCCTCTGGGATTCAGTCATTTTTTGGAGCAACAGAGAGAAGATTTCACCAAGGTCACCAGTGGGAAGTTTAATAAAAGTCTTCCCACCAGGTCTGCCACTGTCAGAGCAAGTCCTCATCTTTTTACCCCCCTGTGGCCTCCACTTCACAGAATCCTAGAATTTTGATGGAAGAACTCTCATTCCAACCCCATGCCATGGGCAGGGACACCTTTCTCTATCCCAGGTTGCTCCAAGCCCTATCCAACCCGGCCTTGGACACTTCCAGGGATCCAGGAGCAGCCACAGCTTCTCTGGGCAGCCTGTGCCAGGACCTCACCAGCCTCACAGGGAAGAATTTCTGCCCAATATCTAAACTAAATCTTGCCTCTTTCACTTTGAAATAATTTCCCTTTGCCCCATCACTACACTCCCTGCCAAGGAGTCTCTCCCCATCTTTTCCTAGCACTCCCTTTAAGTCCTCTTCTCTACAGGAGCCATCTTCAGAGAGCAGACAAGAGGCAGTTTGCACAGGACAGCACCCTAAATCCCAGCAGGGAAAGAGGAGGACTGGAGTGGGATAGTTCAGAAGTGATAGCATTGAAGGGTGCAGGACGGAATTGTCTCCTGGGACAGAGACACTCAGGACAACGAGAAGACAAACAGTTAATTCAGGATAAGGAAACGTTTTCTGACCACATGGGCCTGGTTCTTACCTGGCATAAAACAGCAAGTAGGCTTGCTGCCCTAGAACTGTGTGGATGTCACAGTCATCCACAGACTCATCGTCCATCTTGTACCACAGCCCATTGCTGGCCTGCAAAGGAAGGCATCCAGCTCTGGAGAGATCTGCAGGGTTTGTCCATGTCACCACTGAGTCAGAAATGACATGGATAAATGGACGTGCAGATAAAAGTGACATACTCCATGTGTTTTCAGGCTAATAACAATTTTATCAGGAACCCATTCCTTTTTATACTCAAGTTAGCTACAGGGGGACCTGATTGGTCCTTTAATCAAAAGACTGTCACCATTGGCTAATTAAGAAACCACCCTTTGGTAAACAACCTTATGAGGAAAACAGCTTATTACAAACAACACCTATGGATTGTTTCCATTTGATTATCATTATTTCTCTCCAGCTCCCTAAAGCCTCCCAGCCCAACTCATGGGAAAGCTTATTTAGCTTTCTCTCTCTCTGACCCTGCTGTCACATCCACATCTCCGAAACACCAAAGGCAGAAAACTGCCAAACCAGAAGCACACAAAACCCAATCAAATCGAGCTCCAGACGAGACCTTCTCCCCCAAAACCTTGGTTCCCAGTAACACTGCTGGGAAAGTTTGCCTCTCCCAACACACATTTGTCCCTGTCAGGAGGGAAGTTGCTCTTTACCTTTGCATAGCACAAAAAGTGTCCTTCAAGGCAGGTGTCCCCAGTGTGAACCACGATGGCATACAAGGAGCAGAGGAGGGGTTCTCCAGCTGTGTCTGACATGTATGGCCGAAGATCCAGGTACTCAGGATACTCCACGAACTACAGACAGACCAAGAGGGCTCATAAATGATCCTCAGCTACCACAGTAAATAGCCTTCAGCATTTAGCTTGGGTGGCAGGTAACTGCCCTGACAGAGATGCTTTGGCTGAGAACAGAGTCCAG